TTTCAGATTTAATTTCGGCAAGTTAATTTTGGCAAATTATTTAATTAGATGACGTCATTTCGGCAACCATCCTTAGTAATAATATTAAAAATATCTTTAAATCTTTAAAGATCAAATATAAGATATAATATTTGTATTATCAGCAATATGAAATCGAAGATAAGTGTATAAACAATGTATTATTAGCAATACAAAGTTAAAGGTAAGTTTATGAGTAATATATTATTAGCAATACAATCTCAAAGATAGATTTATGAATTATAATAATAATTCTTTTATTTAATATAATGTTCAATAGACTTCATCACAATATATTTAAAAAGTCTAGGATAAAGATGATAACTTTATAGTGCTCCTGGTAATATTGCTTAAGTTACTATAATATATGTTGATTCAAGATCTATATAACTTCTTATAAAGCTATTATACAAGAAACAAGAATACTTTATCAAAAAGATATTAGAAAGAAGTTTGTACTTGACTACCTACTCTACATAAAGTACAAGCTACTTTTTTTTGAATGATCAAAATTACGTGATAATTAATTATAAATCTATATTTAATACTTCTTAATATTTTATTAAATAGATTAAATGTAAAATATAAATTATATTATTAATTTAAACACACTTTGTTTTTCTTTTTATTTATTTTTTTCTTTTTTATTTATTATTTTTAATTTATATTAATTACTTTTTATTATTATTTATATTTTATACATATCTAATTAAGTTATATTCTTTTAACACAATAATTTGGATTGCTAAAAAGAATTCTCAAAATCTCAAAGTTAAAGTTCTAGAAATTATAATATTCATATTATTAACAATATGAAATCAAAAATAAATATATATTATTAGCAATATAAAATTAAAGATAAATTTATGAGCAATGTATTATTAGTAATACAATCTCAAAAATAGATTTATGAATATAATAATAATTCTTTATTTAATATAATGTTCAATAGATTTTGTTACAAATATGTTCAGATAATCTAGTATTAAAATAATAACTTTTATAGTGCTCCTAGCAATCTTGTTTAAGTTACTATAATATTAATTCAAGATTTGTATAACACTTATGACAACAGTACTAAAGTAATTATACAAAAAACAAGAATACTTTGTCAAAGGGGTATAGAGAGAAGTTTGCGTTTGACTACTTACTTTACATAAAGTGCAAATTTTGTTCGTATGAATAATTAAAACTATATGATAACTAGCTATAAAATAATAATTAAGAATATTACTATTGAAGAACTTGTTCTAATCTAATTTTAATAGTTATAGTATATGTTGCTTTTATACAAATCCAAAATATAATTCATCAATTATACAAATTCATGTTTGCTAGATCACTTAAATTTTATTGATCCAATATTTGCTTATTTATTCGCTTATTTACTTATTTATTTACTTGTTTATTTGTTTGCTTACTTGTTTATTTATTTGTCTCATGTAATTAGATTCTTTCAATAAGATATAAGATATTTATAATCCAATAATATTAAGTATAAATAATTCAGTAAAATATTTGATCAAAATTTATTATATAACAATATAATTTGGAGACGTATCATTTTTAAGATTAATAATTTAGAACCAATTGCTTTCTATTTTATTATTAATTTATTTATAATTTATTTAACATCAATTATATATTTAAATTTCTCTGTTCTGTACTATAGCTTTTTAAATTTTTTCACTATTTAATAAATAAAGAATAAGTTTTATTAAAATTAAAACTGAAACTATTTCAATTGATATAATTTATTTATAACTATTAATAAATTTATCTTAATATTATTCATATAAGAAAATATTCTTACAAAAGTCATCAAATATTTATATTTTATAAAATGAATAAACTTTTTTACTAAGAAGTAAATACAAAATTTAAATTGTAAATATAATAAAATAGTTTCTTTTTGTACATATTTATAAATTAAATTTTGTATTTACTTCTTGACAAAGAAATTTATATATTTTATAAAATACAAATATTTGATAATTTTAAATATTATGCACTATATGAGTTTTAATATCAAGTAACAAAGTTTTATTTAAGTGTATTTATAAGAGAAATTTAACAAATATAAATAATAATTACAAGATCACAAAGATAAAAAAATCTATCATTTTTTAGTATTATGCATGTTATTATTATAAATATTATAGATCTATATTATTTAATATGTATTTGAATAAATATAATCTAATATAGAAAATCAGACATCTTGTAATTTATCTTTGATCTTGTTAATAATAAAAAATAAATTAAATTGTTAATTAAGTATTATAAATGAGATTAGTGAAATATTAGTATTATATTAAATAAATTAGATAAATTAATAATCAAAATTAAATAGATTAATAATTATAAATCAAGAATTAATAAAATTATAATAACTAATAATTAATAAAAATAGTATAATAAATTAATAAAGTAATTGATAATTTGTAATATTATCAGATATAAATAAAAATAATTAAAAATAAGTAAATATTTATAAATAGAAATTACTTAGAATCTGATAATATTTCATGTTAAGTAATCAAAAAAAATAGTGAATGATAACAATATACATAATAATATTTAAAAATAAAATAGAAAATTAGCTATAATTTAGAAAATAAATGAATTTAAAATATAATACAAGAAAAATAAAAATGAATTTATTAAAATTACAAATTCAATGAAATTTATAATTTAACAATATAAATAATCTATTTTTACAAGCTTTTTGAAAATAAAAAAGTTCAATTATATAAAAAGTTATATTTATTACAAAAACAAAATTAATTAATTAAATTGATAAAATTATATATCATGTAATTAATTATAGTATATCATATAATCTATAATAAAAAATTATATTATAAAATATAACAAATTAAGTTTATAAAATAATATAAAAAATAATTAAAAAATTTTTTTAATTAATAAATTATTTATATGATTTTTGTAATTTTATAATTTATTATAAATTATGAAATTAATGATTTTTATATTATATATAAATATAATACTACATATATATCATAAGTTAAAATAAAATGCCATGTTAATTTAAAATCAACCTAGATTAATTTATAATTTGTTAATATTAAAATTAAAATTAAGATTGAATTAGAATTAATTTAGAGTTATATTAATCTAAAATAGTTTAAAATTCTTAATTTAATATCTAATTCCAAATCAATCTAGATTAATTTGGAATTAATATAGATTCTATTTCAACTTATAATATATATAAATATATAAATATAAATTATAATTATATTATTATCATTTACTATTTTCTTTGATTATCTGATATGAGACATTAGCAGATTTCAAGTAATATTTAATCAATTTCTATTTATAAACATTTTTTATTTGCATCTGATAATATTACAAATTACCAATCATTTTATTAATTTATTATACTATTTTTATTAATTATTATAATTTTATTGGTTCTTGATTTATAATTATTAATCTATTTAATTTTGATTATTAATTTATTAATTTATCTAATTTATTTAATGTAATGTCAATATTTTACTAATTTTATTTGTAATACTTAGATTAATTTGTATTATATTTATCATTTCTTAACATTATGCATTTTATAACTTTATTATTTTATTGGTTCTTTATATCATTACAAATCTTGTAGATTTATATTATTTTAATATCTATTTAAATAAATATAATCTAATATAGAAAATCAGATATTTTGTAATTTATCTTTGGTTTTAATTATAATAAAGAATAGATCAGATTGCTAATTATTTTTAAATACTTTGATTCTTATTAATTTTCTTTGTCTTTTGTGTTATTAATATATTATGTGTTGGATTATTATTTGTATTTATTAAAAAAAACACTGATACAATTTTTGTTACTTGATATTGGAACTTATATTTGAAAGACTTATACTTTACACTTTTGCATGAATACAATCACTATCATCTATCTTGTGAATATTTTTATTTGTAAAAATCACAGAATGGTGACAATATTAAGAAACAATTATAAATTATGTTTATTTTCAAAAGTTTTATTCAAAAGTAAAAAAAATAATGAATTATACTTTTTTTGGATTGAATAATTTAACAAATAATAAAATTAAAGTGCTTAAGAAATATGACATAATATACTTTCATTATTTAGCTTTTTCATTTATTTACATGTGTTTTGTGATTTATGATAAAAAATATATTTACACGACATCAATATAATTCTTCCAGAATTACGAGATTTGAAGTACATTACAAATTAAAACTAAATCAGGCCCAAATGATCGAGAAAAGGTTTGAGTACCTAACAAAAGAATATGATAAATAGTAAAATGGAAATTGACTATAAACAAGAAACAAATAATAAAATAAATAATAAATGTAATATAAAGATTATTTCTACGTACTTCCTTCTTCTTTTGTTTCTGTTCTCGATCGGTCGGCTTCGCCCATTTAATGCTATTCGGATCAGGAATTGGGAGAAATTGCTTCCAATCCAGCTTTGCTAGTTCTTGAAGAACCTCTTCCGATTCTTTTTTTGGTGGTGATTGATATTTCGGTGGTGATAACGCTGATTGGTCGTCGTCTAGGTCCACGAGAACAGAGTTTTCTTTGACGAACGTGTTATTGTAGAAGATATAAGCCGCGACTGTTTTGGATTCTGGAATTTGAATGGTAGCTCGTAATGGGCTTTTGATCTGTGGTTTTTATTATAATAATTGAAAATTTTTACCCAAATAGTGATGATAAAGATACTCATCAATCGAGAATGCAAGTTGAGTCTCCTTACCTCTGGAGGCTTTTTTTGATTTTGTGTAATAACTGTGGGCTTAATTGATAAAGTACTGAATGTCGGTATGTCAAATGAATCGATCAAATTCGGCGACGTCGGCGACTATATTGAAATAGTCAATTAGAAACTGATCAAAAATAATACTAATGATGTCTATACAATCTCTCTGAATAATATTTGCCTGAGGTTCCTTAGTACTAGAATTCGATTTGATTGATTCTTCGTCACTCGAATCTGATTCAATTAACGGCTGGTTGAAATTCGGCCATTTTTCTTCGTTCTTAGACTCGGTTCCCCAACCAAAAGCAGATTCCTTCGTCTGTAGAAAATTCGCGAATCACGCGCGAATTAACAAATGCAAGTACAATTAAGAATACTAGAGCAAGATATTAACAGATAACAAATACCTTATTAGTATTAGTGTGTTTTTCTTGATTCTTTGCATCACCATAAAAGAGGATTTCTTCGTCGATAAGGGATTGGAAAGGTTCTATTGAATTGACTTTAGCGGAACTTTCTTGAACTTTCTCATCTTTTGGTTTCGATGGAGGTTGAGTAAGTGCCGTTGTAGATGAATCTTTTGCGTTACGACCGGACTCCTGTTGAATTTCAAAATCAATGTTTATAAGATTGAGATTCAAACACAAACTTTCATTTTTGATTCTACCTCAGCCAATCGTTTCAACCAATCCAACAACTTCAAATAATCCGGGTTTTCTTTTGGCTCGATTTTAGTGTCTTCGGAGAATCGAACAACTTGAGGACTTGCCTTTGTTGGACTTATCGGATTTGTAACTCCAACATTTGATTCTTTATTAACGTCAGAAGCACCTAAATTTTTGCTATCAAATTTAGACATATTTGTATCTATAGACGAAGAGATAGCAATTTTGACTTCGTTTCCTCGAATTTGAGTTTCTTCGGTACCGGTTTTGATTTTTGTAATATCTTCTCGAGATTGGCGTGATCCATCTGATTTGGGGACGTTATCCATGGGGTTGGTTTTTGGTGAAATATCTTTGCGAGAGACAGATTGAATTCTATGATTAAATTTTTCTTCGTCATGTTTGCTTTGAGACAAGGTGCCCAAATTGCTCCGATTTGAGTTAATGACAGGCGAAATATAATCGATTTCTTTAGGCTCATCGGTCAGTGTCCAGCCAGTTTGTTCAGGCCGCATAGACGCGTTCCAATTGTTTTGTGACTTTTTGGCTGACACCGAATTCCAATTGTCATTGTCGTTTTGTGGTTTGATGGAGTCCCGACTGCTAGGATGTTCCGGCTGCGCAGACGCGTTCCAATTGTGTTGTGACTTTTTGGCCAACACCGAATTCCAATTGTCATTGTCGTTTTGTGGTTTGATGGAGTCCCAACTGCTAGGATGTTCCGGCTGCGCAGACGCGTTCCAATTGTTTTGTGATTTTTTGGCCGACACCGAGGGATCCCAACTGCTATCATGTTTCGACTGCAAATTGTTTGACTGTGGTTCAATATTCCAATTTTCATTTTCACGTTGTGGCTTGACGAAGGAAACCTTTGACCTTGCATTAGAATTTCCTTCCTTTGGCTCGTAGATCGGATTATTTTGCTGCGTGCCAACACGGTAATCCCAATTGTTTTGTTGTAATGAGGAATCCCAGTTGTTTTGATGTGTGCCGCGAACGGATGAGGCGTTCCAATTCTCTTTCCATTGTTTCTGTTCCGAATTCCATTTGTTCGGTTCATATATTTCATAAGATTTTTTTTCCTTTGGAACAATATCAGAAACTTTGTTGAGCGCGACTGCGTTGGAATATCTCCATTCGGCGATTTGACTTGGTGCCTTTTGGCCAATAACCTCTTTTACAAGTACACCTGGTGGAGATCTCCAGGATGATTTTGTAGGTTGTTTAATTTCTGGTTCCTCAGGTTCGGGCTGAATTGTTTTTTTATTTTCATCATAAAATATAGCAACAAAACGAAATAATTATATTATGCAAGTATTTTTTACTGTTAGAGTTACCTCTCCTGGCTTGCTTGGCAGGCCTAAAGCTAAAGCATTCCAAGTTCGGTAGACTGGCGCCTGATATTTTTTTCTTCTATCCATTGTTTGAGGTGTTACACCGTATTTAACAGTTAATAAAAAATTCCAAAATAAGGAGGGGCCGTTAAAGTCTTGAACATCATGTATTAATCGAATTTACTAGAAATTTCGTTATATAAGATTAGGGTAGGGTTGCCTGATATTCTGGACTTGGATTGTCACGTGATATACAAGGCTTCTAACATCAGTGTTGAACAATAGAACTTGCATCACTAGACTATTGGAATTATAAAATTTATATGTTTAGTTGTTCAAAATTATTATTTATAATGATATTTCTAGTTAATAAAAGATCAAATTACTGAACTATCAAAACTTATAATCAAATATTGTTATAGTTTATTTTGTTAGTTATATATTATTGGACAATTTTTATATTAATTTTTATTGGACAATTTTTATATTAATTTTTATTGGACATTTCGTATAGTATATTTTATTGAACAATATTTATTTTTATTTATTTTTATTTTTATTGGTTAGTTATTTTTGGACTTATTGTTCACATGTACTGTACATCAATGTGACAGATATATTGAACATTCGATATTTTGAACTGTTGATCATTAGAGATATCGAAC